ATATATATATATATAGTGGTGGAAATAAGTATAAGACACCCTATGAAAAATTGTACAAAATTCAATATTTACATTTATTCCTTTTCAATTGTAATACTCCAACACACCTGTTTTGCTTTGAATCAATAAGTTTTCTGAGAGTTTCAGATGGAATTTCATTCCAATACTGTTTAATGCAAGATTTTAAAGTTTCTCTATCTTCAAGTTGACGTTTACTTTTGTATACTCTTCTTGACAAAATTCCCCACAAATTTTCTATTGAGTTTAAATCAGGAGACTTAGTGGGCCAGTCCAAAATTTCAATATTTTTTGTTTTAAACCAGTCTTTCGTGAGCTTAGAAGTGTGTATGGCTGTGTTGTCCTGTTGAAAAATGGCATTATTATGTCTAGACGATTCATAAATGTGACAAGACTTTTTTCCAACACATTGATATATCAAGCAGAGTTTTGTTTACCTTCCATCACTGCTCAGTCAGCCTTTCCAGAAAGCAGAAAAAAGCTCCCTTACTCATAACAGATCCTCTTCCAAATGGTCGTTTTGAAAACAACTGCTTTTTCTTTCTTTAATCATGCCAATAACACTGTCGGTTCATCCAAATTAAACTTTTTCTTATCAAAAAATACCATTGTTTCCCATTTCTCCTTTGTCTATGTTACATTTTTCTTTACCTAATTTCTTAAGTCGAATATCCATTGAGAGAAAATTATGTTATTTCTCTTTTAAAATCGAATATACAATTGCATTTCCTTTTTCAATACATTATCGTTTCCTGAAAACAGATGGCAAAAATATCCAAAAATACATTGGTACTCAAAGGTCGTAAAAATTCCATGAATTTGAAAAGCGGTCTTTACAAAAAATTAGTGGTGTTATTCATTTTTATGTTTTCATAATTCTGATTTAAAAATGCGGTTTTGAATATTAAGTCGAATATCCATTGAGAGAAAATTATGTTATTTCTCTTTTAAAATCGAATATACAATTGCATTTCCTTATGAAAGAGAAGAAAACAATACATTATCGTTTCCTGAAAACAGATGGCAAAAATATCCAAAAATACATTGGTAAGACTCAAAGGAATGTAAAAGATTCCATGAATTTAAAAGCGGTCTTTTACAAAACAATACACTCAGTGGTCCAAGTTATTCATTTTAATATGTTTAGTCATAATTCTGATTTAAAGAATGCGGTTTTCGAATATCCATTGAGAGAAAATTATGAATTTCTTTTAAATCGAATATCCATTGAAAGAGAAGAAAAATACATTATCGTTTCCGAAAAACAGATGGGATCATCAAAAGGAATGTAAAAGATTCCATGAAAAAGTGGTAGTTTTATAATCATTCGTTTATCTCCATTGAGAGAGAATTAATTTCTGATCATTATTTTTTTAATCATTTTGGTCATTTACCTTTGGTCATTTCATCATAGAAACTTTTCTGCCTGCCATCGGCATGGCTGATGATAGATTTCAGGAGAGCAACGCACTGCACTTTCTTGGCGTAATGTTTTCTACAGACATGATGTGGAGTGACTACATCGAGCCAATAGCTGCATCTAATGCAAGGAAAGTTGAGTCACTGTGCCGTGCCACAAGAGTTTTCCCGTCAGAGTCTATCTTGCACATTTATAAATCTACCATTCGTCCGTGCATTGAATACTGCTGCCATATCTGGTCTGGTGCTCCTGCTATTCATCCCGAGGTTCTTGACAAAATCCAAAGAAGGATCTGCAATTTAATCGAGCTTGACCTGGATTCTCGACTTCAGTCACTTTCTCAACGACGTGACGTGGCTTCCCTTTGCCTTTTTTGCAAATATTTTCATGGCAACTGCTCTGATGTGCTTTTTCCCTAATGAACCGACTACATGAATTTAAACGTGCTAACTAGATTGGTATCTAGGTCTCACTCTTTTACTGGTGAAACAGCTAAATGCAACCGCCACTTCTACTTCAACAATTTATTTTCTCGTACTTCCTGCATGGGGAACTCACACCCGTTTACTTGCTTCCCTGATGACTACAATCGTCAAAAATCTAAATGCAATATTAATCGCCATCTTCTGTTTTCTTGAACCGCGTTCATCTTTTTTCCTTTCCTCAATCCTCCCTATACACAGTCTTTTATCTGACTTTCACTTCCTTTAACCTTTTGCGTACTAGTGGCATTCGCGCCTTGCTTGGGGTGAAATGATTAAAAAAAAAGTGTGTTGCCATTTTGATGACCCCCCTCTCGCAAGTCATACAGCACAATATATTCGAAACAGAGATAAAATAAAACACTATCCACTTCTATGTGGAGGAACCAGTCATAGTCTAATAGTAGGAATGGTTCCAACAAGAAAACCGTTATTCGTCTGAAGGAATTCCTTCTTAGAATGAATCCCGTCAATAAAAGTTCTTTCCTCGCCATCTTGTCATTCACTTAACCACTAATCGTCGTAATTAATAATTTGCTTTTTACTTTTGTATTGAGAAGGTTTCTTTTGTTTGTACGACCTTCAAGGTTTTTGAACTCATTTCTTGTGATTACTCCACGCTGTTTTTGTATTTAATCTTAATTATTTCCTCAGTCTATTGTTACTTAAAATTATTAAGAATGAAAGAAGGTATGGCGAAAAGG